ACTGGGAACACATCTGAAAACACTCCCGTCGTGCAGCAGGGAAAAGGTGAGATCCAGCAGTGTGTTTTCCCGGGATAGAGGCTGCTGATGGTCCCACCTGGCATCCCGCGCTTATCCGCACGCAGGACTCCATCCGAGCCTGCAACGTGCTCAGTGCTTGGCCATAAAACACACAGGGATGGGGAGATCTCAAAGCTTTAATGAGCACTTAACGAGCACAATCCTATTTTTCTCCCCCTGGAGGTAGGTGGGTGACAAAGCTGTTCTGCAGGATGAGGCTACAGCCACATCCTGGCGGTGACCAAGGCCTCTGAATCACGTCCTGTGGTTCGGAGCCCCCATCCCTCGCTTGGGCTGCACATCCCAGCTCCCTCGCGTGGGAACGGCCGTAACGTGCCGTGTTTTCCCAGCAGGAACACGCAGCGGTGCCAGCGCTCCGCCAAGGCTGCGACCGGCTCCAGGAATGGGCCTGCAAAACTTCTCGGATTACCCCGAATACCTCCATAACTATAACGATGATGCAGATTACACCTACGATGAGTTAGACAGCTTGAAGACAAGCCCGTCCCTCGATGGGAAGGACATCGCCAGGATCCTCTCTGTTGTCATTTACAGCGTGTCCTGCGTGCTGGGCTTACTCGGGAACGGCCTCGTCATCGCAATCATAACGCTGAAGATGAAGAAGTCGGTCAACGCCATCTGGTTTCTCAACCTGGCTGTGGCCGACTTCCTCTTCAACATCTTCCTGCCCATTAATATTGCTTACACCGCCATGAGGTACCACTGGATCTTTGGGAAAGTCATGTGCAAGCTCAACTCCTTCCTCCTCATCCTCAACATGTACACCAGCGTCCTTCTGCTCACCACCATCAGTTTCGATCGCTACGTGTCGGTGGTTTTCCCGGTGTGGTCTCAGAACCATCGCTCGACCAACCTAGCCTACTTGGTTTGCTTGATTATCTGGACCATCGGCATCGTGATGAGCTGCCCTTCGCTCATCTTCCGAGACACGGCCCAATCCTCCAGCAACGTGATTTGCTTCAGCAACTTCTCCCTGTCCAGCAATAAGTCTTATCTGCCCCTGGCACTGGCAAGACACAGAACAGTGACCATCACTCGGTTCCTTGCTGGGTACATCCTCCCCATAACCATCATCACCTTCTGCTACATCGCCATCGTCCTCAACCTGCGCCGAAACCGCCTTGCCAAATCCAAAAAGCCCTTCAAGATCATCGTCACCATCATAGTCACCTTCTTCCTCTGCTGGAGCCCCTACCACCTGCTGAGCCCCACAGTGTCCCCTTCTCCGTGTTTGAGATCGGCGTCCCTATAACCACGGCGCTCGCTGCCTCCAACAGCTGCATGAACCCCGTCCTCTACGTCTTCATGGGCCAGGACTTCAAGAAGTTTAAGGTGGCCATCTTCTCCAGGCTGGTGAACGCGCTCAGCGAGGAGACGGGCCACTCCAGCATCGTGCACAGGAGCTTCTCCAAGATGTCCTCCATGACGGAGAAGGAGACGACGGTGCTGTGAACGCAACGCGGAGGCTCAGCCTCCTCCGCGTCCCCCGTGCCCAACGGGGCCACCCTGGACATGGTCCCGGGCACAGGGAGGGCAGCTGGGAACCTGCAGCAGGAGCTGGGGAGAGCAAATCAGGGCTTAGCTTTTACCTTGGACTGCAAGAGGGCTCTCCCAGTGACTCAAGCAATTATCTGCAGACATTCCTAGATAATCCATGCAGCGCCTGGCGCATATCCCATGGGAAGGGCCATCCACCAGCTTCCAGAGACATTTGCTGTCCCTGGACACACTGAGCTGCACGGGAGAGCGAGAGCTTGTGGCTGGAGGAGATCCGGGAGAAGCCGGGGATGCATCTCCAGTGGGAGCAGGATGAGGAGGTGACCTCCCGCCTGCCCACGCACGCCTGTAGCCTTCCCTGCTCCCTTGGAGTCCTCAAATATATCGGTACTAGCCCCAGGTGTCGTGTTGTGAGCCCGGCACCGGATGATAAATCTCCCTTAAGGGGTAGGCTGAGCTGCGGGTCGATCCAATTCCATGCGCAGTTAATTTGGGAGATAATTCGTGATTTGGACTGCAGCGAGTGAGGGGATGTGAGGGAAGGACGCGGCGCGGAGGCTCCGAGCCACCAGCAGCCTCCGCGAGTCTGATCCCAGCGCCCGCAGAGCCCCACGTGTTTGTTTATTTGTCCAAAAATGCAGAAATGCAAAAAAAAAACCCCAGCACGCTCCCGGAAAAACGTCCACTAAGCGATTTGCAGGTTCCTGATGGAGGAAAGGGAAGCCAGAGGCAGGCGCTGATCCAAGAGCCCAGCCGCCGAGCCGCGGGGAGCATTCCCGTAACGCGGAGCGCCGGGAGCCGCCGGGGTTTGCAGCC